ACAAATTACCAAGAATGGTCTATACATATGAGGCTTTCATGAAGGTTCATCTGTTTTGGTAGTTTCTTGTTTAAAGTTAAAATTTAGATCCAACAAAAGAAGTTATCTCACCTAGCGTTTTCGACCAGTCACTCTGGTCTTCCTCAGCACACTGACCCACTGAGGAAGACCAGACTGACTGGACGAAAGCCCTAGGTGAAGGAACTTCTTTTGGATCTAATGTTTTAACTTTAAAGAATTAGGCTTTCTTCTCACCTCCAGTCCTGTGTTGTCTGTTCTATCGTCAGGAGCCAGACCGATAAAAAGTGGATGCTGAGATGTCCTGTAGCGTGTTGCGTAACAGTGAAAGCGTGTGTAGTTTGACCAGATCGCGAAACGCACCGTCCTCTACATAGGTGATGTTGTTACCATCCATGTACAGTGCCGTTAGATTGAACAATCTAGAGAATGTTGTCTGTATGATTTTGGAGATACTGTTAGATATGAGATCAAGAAACTCCAGCGCTATGGCACCATTGAAGACCATATCTGGTAGATTCTGTATCTTATTGTCAGCCAAAACCAGACGCTTCAATGAGGATAGTCCCATAAATGTCTCGTTGGTCAGCCGAAGGATCTGGTTGGAATGCAGGTAGAGGACGCGTAACTTCTTGAGACCACTGAAGCTCCCATCTTCAATCGTTGAGATGTTGTTGGACGATAAGTTGAGCTCCGTAAGCAACGGAACTCCAGTAAACGTGATGGTCGCTATAGACGCGAGTTTGTTTCTCTGTAAGTCCAGAATTTCCAAACTACTTGGACTATCAATCCCTGCAAACGCTTCTACAGTTTCGATGTTGTTACGATTCAGATACAGTTTCAGAAGTTGGCTAAGTCCACGAAAAGCATCACTGACCACATTGATGATTTTATTCCCTCCAAGCCGAAGAATCTTCAGATTTGGCCGCAGGCGGAAGGGGGATCTTTCAAGCTCGGTGATCGAGTTATCTTCTAAGCTCAGTTCTAACAGGTTTGGAAGTGGAGGCCCCAAAGACACAGTTATCATCCGGTTATCGTTCATCAGAAGAGTTTCCGTTGAAGAAAATATGGCTTCGTCACGAGGAAGTCTTACCCAAGCTACGTGGCTGCAGTCCATGGTAGTGCCTTTAATGGAATTCATTTTAGTGGAAGTAGGTTAGGAGCACAGTACTGTGCTGATCAGGGAGGGCATATATACCAACTACAACTAGAAACGCGAAGAACTCGTACATCTACAATTAGCTGAGATACGAAAGAAGGCATTGAATATATATATATATGTGTATCTCTCTCTCTCTCTCTCTCCTCTCTCTCTCTTTCTATATATATATATATATGTGTGTGTGTGTGTGTGTGT